ACCCAAGACTGTTTTGGAATTCTTGGAAATTCGTTCTTAACTGCACTAGGCTTTAAAATGAATTACAGTAACAACGGCAAGACGACAGACTCTTTCAATGTGGAATCTTTTTTTCCAGAATCACTGCATGTTAGAATGAGTCAATGAATTTAGCATAGTCAGAACTTACCTCTGAGTGATCCAACAGTGCTGGTTTATCTTTGGTGGGCTTCGTGAAGTTGCACATCATTGCACATACTGCAACCTGCAAACAAAGTCCAAAGCCTTTTAAAAAAAATTGACTATGGCCTTACAATTTTACTTAAGATTTCATACCATTCACTTCTCTTACAACCCCATCTATAAACATGTGTGTGACATCACACATCCTTGTCTAAGGCCTACTTTTTCTGGGAAATAATCTCCCTCTTTCCTACATACTCTAACCTGAGCCTCACTATCCTCATAAAAACCCTTCACTGCTTTCAGTAACCTACCTCCTATTCCATACATCTGCAATATCTGCCACATTGCTCCCCTATCCACAACGTCATATGCCTTTTCCAAATCCATAAATACCACAAAAACCTCTTTACCCTTATCTAAACACTGTTCACCTGTATGTTTCACTGTAAACATTCAGTCTACACACCCCCTACCTTTCCTAAAGCCTCGTTCATCTGCTATCCTACTCTCCATCTTACTCTTAATTCTTTCAATATTAGATCTACCATACACTATACCAGGTGTATTCAACAATTTTTTTTTTCTCAAGAAGTCAGCCGTCTCCCACCGAGGCAGGGTGACCCAAAAAGAAAAAAAAATCCCCATCATTCAACACTTTTACCTCACTCATACATAATCACTGTCTTTGCAGAGGCACCCAGATACAACAGTTTAGAAGTCCCTCCAAACTGTCAATATCCCAGACCCCTCCCTGAAAGTGCAGGCATTGTACTTCCCATTTCCAGGACTCAAGTCCGGTTAAATCTATAATAACCGATTTTCCTGAATCCCTTCACTAAATATTACCCTGCTCACACTCCAACAGCTTGTCAAGTCCCAAAAACCATTCGTTTCCATTTATTCCTATCTAACACGCTCACACACGCTTGATAGGAGTCCAAGCCCCTCACTCACTAAACCTCCTTTACCCCCTCCCTCCACCCTTTTCAAGTATGACCCCTACCCTTCCTTTCCCTTACCCTAAAGATTTATATGCTCTCCAAGTCATTCTACTTTGATCCATTCTCTCTAAATGACCAAACCATCTGAACAACCCCTCTTCAGCCCTCTAATACTTTTAGTAACTCCACATTTCCTACTAATTTCCACACTCTGAATTCTCTGTATAATATTTACACCACACATTGCTCTTGGACAGGACATCTCTACTGCCTCCAGCCACATCTTCACTGCAGCATTTACAACCCAAGCTTCACACCCATATAAGAGTGTTGGTACCAATACACTTTCATACATTCCCTTCTTTGCCTCCATAGATAACAGTTTTTTGTCTCCACAGATACCTCTACGCACCACTCGCCTTTTTTCCTTCATCAATTCTATGGTTAACCTCATCCTTCATAAATCCATCCTTACACATCAATCCCAAATAAATTAATCCGTGCAAGCGCCAAAAGTATGAAAAAAATTTTTTTTACCACATGAATGTTTAATTTTAATAACAAAAACCCGAAAAGCATGACAATTAACTGACACTTATTTTATTGAAGATCGGTGATGATTAAATGGGATGGGGAGGAGGGGAGAGCATTATCTTCTTACGTTTAGAAGGGAATCCCCTCCTTTTAGGACTTGAGGGTAGCAAGCCCTTTCTGGGTACTTCCCTTTCTTCTTTAATGCCACTAGGACCACTTCAGGGGGTCATTGACCTCTGTCGCACACAAATCTGCCCATTAAAACTCTGTACCCCCGTTTTTCTCAAGAACTTTCCTAAATTGGGCCATAACATTTTCATTGAAATATTCACCACAGGGCTTCAACAGCTTTTTCCCAGGTGATTTTCATCTATAAAGTTTGCAGTTTCAAACCACTCCACACATTCCCTTAATTCTTTAAATAGGCACATGGATTCCACAACTGGCATAGGCTTCTCAGGGTTTAGCCCAAACCCTTCAAAATCTTTCTTAATTTCCTATTTAATTCTCACCCTTTTTACCACAGGGTTGGCACAGAACTTTCTTGGGGCCATGTCATTTTTTTTCAAAAAACACCCCCGAAAACACTGTAATAATCGAAATATTTCCGATGTATGCTTGGATGTTACCGCGGGGGCGGGCTGGAAAACAATGGGACGGCCCCCACATGTAGGGCACATTGGACCGTCTCGGCAAAAATCGGTATGGGGTTTTTAATCGGTATGGGGCAAAAATTTTGCGATAAAAGTAATCGTTATGCGGAAAAATCGCTATGCGATGCCATCGTTATGCGGGGGTCCACTGTATCTGAAAACATTCCTTCTTCCATGCTCCCTCTTTCCAATGTGATATCCAATTTTTCTTTATCTAAAACATTTGATACCCTCATCACCTTACTCTTATCTATGTTCACTTTCAACTTTCTACCTTTACACACACTCCCAAACTCGTCTACTAACCTTTGCAACTTTTCTTTTGAATCTCCCATAAGCACATTACCATCAGCAAAATGTAAATGTGTCAACTCCCATTTTACACTTGATTCCCCATAATTTAACCCCGCTTCTCTCCCCAACACCCTAGCATTTACTTCATTTACAACCCCATCTATAAATATATTAAACAACCATGGTGACATTACACATTCCTGTCTAAGACCTACTTTTACCGGGAAGTAATCTCCCTCTCTCCTATGCACCCTAACCTGAGCCTCACTATCCTCATAAAAATTCTTTACAGCATTTAGTAACTTGCTACCTATTCCATACATTTGCAACATCTGCCACATTGCTCCCCTATCCACTAAATCCGTACATGTAATGAAAACTTTCCTACTTTTATCTAAATACTGTTCACATATATGCTTCAATGTAAACACTTGATCTACACATTCCCTACCCACTCTAAAGCCTCCTTGCTCATCTGCAATCCTACTCTCTGTCTTACCTCTAATTTTTTTCAATATTAATCCTACCATACACTTTACCTCAGTAAACTTATTCTCCTATAATTTTTACAATCTCTTTTGTCCCCCTTCCCTTTATATAAAGGAACTATACATGCTCTCTGCCAATCCCTGGCTACCTTCCCCTCTTTCATACATTTATTAAGCAAAAATACCAACCACTCCAACAAAATATACCCCCTGCTTTTAACATTTCTGTCATGATCCCATCAGTTCCTGCTGCTTTACCCCCTTTCATTCTACATAATGCCTCATACACCTCCCCCACACTCACATCCTGCTCTTCTTCACTCCTAAAAGATGTTTCGCCAGCTCCCCATCTCAGTTTTTAACTGACAAATCCATTCTTTCCCTAGGCTTTCTTAACTTGTTTATCTCACTCCAATTTTTTTTTTCTTATTTTCAGCAAAATTTCTTGCCAGTGCCTCTCCCACTCTTTCATCTGCTCTCCTTTTGCACTCTCTCACCACTCTCTTCACCTTTCTTTTACTCTCCATATACTCTTCTTACAATACTTCTGCCCTGTAAAAACCTCTCATAAGCTACCTTTTTCTCTTATCACACCCTTTACTTCATCATTCCACCAATCACTCCTCTTTCCTCCTGCACCCACCCTCCTAAAACCACAAACTTCTGCCCCACATTCTAATACTGCATTTTTAAAACTATCCCAATCCTCTTCACCCCCCCCCACTACCTATACTTGCATCAGCCCACCTTTCTGCTAATAGCTGCTTATATCTCACCCTAACTTCCTCCTCCTCCCCTAGTTTATACACTTCCACCTCTCTCTTACTTGCTGTTGCCATTTTTCTTTTGTCCCATCTATCTCTTACTCTAACTGTAGCTACAACTAAATAATGATCTGATATATTCGCTGCCCCTCTATAAACAAGTACATCCTGAAGCATACCCATCAACCTTTTATCCACCAATACATACTCTAACAAACTACTTTCATTACGTGCTATATCATACCTTATATACTTATTTATCCTCTTTTTCATAAAATATGTATTACTTATTACCAAACCTCTTTCTACACATAGCTCAATTAAAGGGTCCCCATTTTCATTTACCCCTGGCATCCCAAATTTACCTACTACTCCCTCCACAACATTTTTACCCACTTCAGCAGTGAGATCCCCAACCACAAGTACTCTCTCACTTGGTTCAAAACTCCCCACACACCCACTCAACATTTCCCAAAATCCCTCTTTCTCCTCAACAGACTTATTCCCCTATAATTTTTGCACTCTCTTTTGTCCCCTTTGCCTTTATACAAAGGAACTATGCATGCTCTCTGCCAATCCCTAGGTACCTTACCCTCTTCCATACATTTATTAAATAAAAGCACCAACCACTCCAAAACTATATCCCCACCTGCTTTTAACATTTCTATTTTTATCCCATCAATCCCAGCTGCCTTACCCCCTTTCATTCTACCCACTGCCTCACGAACTTCCCCCACACTCACAACTGGCTCTTCCGCATTCCTACAAGATGTTATTCCTCCTTGCCCTATACACGAAATCACAGCTTCCTTAAATTCAGCAACATTTAACAATTCCTCAAAATATTCCCTCCATCTTCCTGATATCTCTAACTATCTATTTAATAACTCTTCTCTCCTATTTTTAACTATCAAGTCCATTTGTTCCCTAGGATTCCTCAACTTATTAATCTCACTCCAAAACTTTCATATTTTCAACAAAATTTATTATCTCACCCACTCTCTCATTTGCTCTCTTTTTACATTGCTTCACCACTCTCTTAACCTCTCTTTTTCTCTCCATATACTCTTCCCTCCTTGCATTACTTCTACTCTGTAAAAACCTCTCATATGCTAACTTTTTCTCTCTTACTACTCTCTTTACATCATCATTCCACCAATAGCTCTTCTTCCCTCCCACACCCACTTTCCTGTAACCACAAACTTCTGCTGAACACAAACACTACATTCTTAAACCTACCCCATACATCTTCGACCCCATTGCCTACACTCTCACTAGCCCATCTATCCTCCAATAGTTGTTTATATTTTACCCTAACTGCCTCCTCCTCTAGTTTACAAACCATCACCTCTCCCTTATTTGCTGCTTCCATTTTCTTTGTATCCCATCTACCTTTTACTCTCACTGTAGCTACAACTAGAAATGATCTGATATATCTGTGGCCCCTCTATAAACATGACATCCTTAAGTCTACTAAACAGTCTTTTATCTACCAATACATAGTCCAACAAACTACTGTCATTATGCCCTACATCATATCTTGTATACTCATTTATCCTCGTTTTGTTAAAATATGTATTACCTATAAACAAGCCCCTTTCTATAAAAAGTCCTATCATTTATACCTGGCACCCCAAACTTACCTACCACACCCTCTCTAAATGTTTCTCCTACTTTAGTATTTAGGTCCCCTACCACAATTACTCTTACTTGGTTCAAAAGTTCCTACACACTCACTTAATATCTCCCAAAATTTCTCTCCTCTACACTCCTCTCTTCTCCAGGTGCATACACACTTATTATGACCACTTTTTGTATCCAGCCCATATTTTAATCCACAATTTTTGGAATTTATGCATTTACATTCCCTCTTCTCCTTCCATAACTCATCCTGCAACATTATTGCTACCCCTTACTTAGCTCTAACTCTCTCAGTTACTCCTGACTTAATCCCATTTATTTCTCCCCACTGAAACTCGCCCACCCCCTTCAGCTTTGTTTCGCTTAGAGCTAGGACATCCAATTTCTTTTATTCATAACATTAGCAATCATCTCTCTCTCTCTTCACCCACACTATATCCACACACATTCAAGCATCCCAGTTTTATAAAGTTTTTCTTCTTCTCTTTTTTTAGCATTTTCTACAGGAGAAGGGGTTACTAGCCCATTGCTCCCAGCATTTTAGTCACCTCATACAACACGCATGGCTTATGGAGGAAAGATTCCTTTCCACTTCCCCATGGAGAATAGAGGAAATAAAGAAGAACAAGAACTATTAAGAAAAAGAAGAAAAATCTAGATGTGTGTATGCATATACACCTACCATCCGACTTACGACCGAGTTCGGTTCTGAGAAACCGGTCTTAAGTCGAAATGGTTGTAAGTCAAACTTTACTACTGAATATCAACAAAACATTTTTGTAATGGCTATTTTATTGTTTTATTTTGGTATTTCATGTTTTCCTTTACTTTTTATGTTGTTAGTACTGTATTTTATACTGTAAGGTTTAGGATAAACACTGTGTACAACACAAATAGTTGTTTATTTCCCAGAAATTTGGCATAAAAAACACGGTCATAAGTCAAGTGGTCGTAAGTCGAGCAGGTCGTAAGTCGGATGGTAGGTGTATATGCATGTGCATGCCTGTGTAGTATGACCTAAGTGTAAGTAGAAGTAGAAAGATATACCTGTTATCCAGCATGTTTATAAGACAGAGAAAAAAGACACCAGCAATCCTACCATCATGTACAACAATTACAAGCTTTCATTTTACACTCACATGGCAGGACAGTAGTACCTCCTTAATATCTTTATAAAAATACGTTAAGATTATCTCACCTGTCGATCCCCATTAGCAGCAACACAGGAAGGCTGTAGAGGAAAAACGGCAGCATGTCCGAACTTTCCATCACGTGGGTAAAGGTCCAAATAGAAATAGCCTAGATGCTCCCCAGTTTTTGAATCATTCACACGATACTGGAGAAATATATCAAGAGTAAACTCTTTAGAACACAGTGCTTCCCAAACTCTTTCTAATTTCTTCATACAAAAATTTAACTCATTCTACAACACTGCACTTTCTATTTTGCTCAACCCCTAAACTGTCCAAACGTAGATCTACGTTTGCTTGCATAGAATGTAGATCTACTTTTTTTTTACGTGCTTTCAAATGGAGAAAATCAAGGTCGGAGCGCTACGTGCGTAAACATAGATCTACATTCGGACAGTTTAAGGGTTAAAGACAAGGATAAATATTAAAAATATATAAAATTTACTGAATTAGTAAACACGATTAGAATATTGCTCAGCATTATATATACAGGGAAATCAGTTTTCATATAACAAAAAATTATAAATAGACACTAACATGAGAGTACTAAGATACAGCCACATACAATACATAACTTACTAATTTTACATCTTCATGCCATGTATCTGCATCAGACTCCTGAGTGAAATGAAGCCCCAGCAACGTTTGATAGATATGTAACAATCCACTAGTAACTTTTTCTAGAGGAAAATACTGCCGCACCTGTTGAAACAGCGTGAAATGCCACACCCTATTATAAACAGTAAAGACCAATAAAAATGTAAAATAAAACAAATACATAAACATTTTGTTTTTATCTCAATGGCCATCTCCCACCAAGGTAGGGCGACAAAGAAAAAAAAAATCACCATCATTAATTTAACAGCTGTCTTTTGAGAAGTGTGCTGAGATCACAGTCAATACTCCTCCCCAAATTGCAGTGCAAGCCCTTCCCACCTCCAGGACTCAGTCCAGTTAATTGGTGATACTAAATCCCTTCATAAAAGTTAGCTTACTCACACTCCAGTATTATGTCCATTAAAACCACCCTCCAACTATTCTGAGACAACCCCTACCCATCTTACCTTCCATTCCATCTCACTTGTTACCCCTGATACATTATACAGTGGAACAGCCAAGGGGTGGCTGTTAACCACTTCACTGGCCGTGCCATAGTACTACGGCTTTGAGATCACTGTCAGCACCATAGTACTACACCATGAGCTCAGCTCACTCAGATAAGCTGTGAGTGGTAAATTTAGGCCTAGATATGAAAGAATGGGTCTATGCAGTAAGTGTGCACCATATAAAAAATCCTGCATCACACAGCACATAAAAAAATTGCAACTGTTTTTGGTTTAAAACAGCTACTTTGCAATGTAATTAAATATAGTTTATATGGTTGTATTCTCAGTTTCTTGGTTACATGTGATGGAATGGAAATATATTACAGAAATGGAGATGATTCCGATTAGTTTCACGATTGAAATTTTTTTTTTTTATTATTATCACACTGGCCGATTCCCACCAAGGCAGGGTGGCCCGAAAAAGAAAAACTTTCACCATCATTCACTCCATCACTGTCTTGCCAGAAGGGTGCTTTACACTACAGTTTTTAAACTGCAACATTAACACCCCTCCTTCAGAGTGCAGGCACTGTACTTCCCATCTCCAGGACTCAAGTCCGGCCTGCCGGTTTCCCTGAACCCCTTCATAAATGTTACTTTGCTCACACTCCAACAGCACGTCAAGTATTAAAAACCATTTGTCTCCATTCACTCCTATCAAACACGCTCATGCATGAAATTAAGTTCAAAGTAGCAGAAATACTTGATTTTTGCCAATATTCAACAGTAAACAAATCAGGTTGCTCATGCAATACATGTCCAATTGGTGGGTCTAATATGCATTCACGAATGCACTGATATTATTTATACAATTATTACAATATTGCCTAACAGTATATCATCTTTTATGTCCATGTAAAAAAAAATTCCTTGTAAATAAAGTCAAAATGAAATTTATGTGAAAAGCCTAGGAACATAACTAATGAACAGAGATGATGTTATTTATGCAAGAATGCCTGCATTGTTTATTCTGGACCCTATTTGAAACTGGAATATTTTGAAATTTTTGTGAAACTGGCCAAATTACCAATTTCTGATCACTTTATTGGATAGGTGAAATAGTTGACTGGGCAATTTCTTGTGTTCAATCGATAAAATGGAAGACACATTAGCAAAATACCTAAGAATTTGGTCGACTGAAACAATGTATTTGGCCTAAAATAGGATTCAAGTGGGTAAAATTGCCGATGCATAAATATCACCGACAGCAAAATTCATGAAAGCATATTTTCGTCAATTTTCCATCAAATTTCAAACATTTTGTTTTACCTTCAGAAAAAGATTCTCTACCATTTCATAAGAAAAAATTTTTTTTTTTTTTTGACAGAGTGGACAAGTTTCAGATTGGGGTCTGGACATTCATGATGTGCTGATCATGAAGCTGAGCTCCTTTAGTTTTATTATAATGTAAACATTCTTAGGTCTTTTTTTTTCTTTTTCTTTTTTTAACACATCAGCCTTTTCCCACCGAGGCAGGGTGACCCAAAAAGAAAGAAAAACCCAAAAAGAAAGAAAAACTTTCATCATCAATCAATACTTTCACCATCACTCACAATCACTGTCTTTGCAGAAGCACTCAGACACGACAGTTTAGACATCCCTCTAAACTGCCAACATCCCAAACCCTTCCTTTAAAGTGCAGGCATCGTACTTCCCATTTCCAGGACAAGACTCGACTTGACTCAAGAAATCGTAATGACACGATTGCAAACAAACCATACCCCGGCCGGGATTGAACCCGCAGTCATAGTCTCTCGAAACTCCAGCCCGTCGCGTTAGCCACTAGACCAGCTAGCCACAATAAGATTCGTCCAACTAGGTATTTTTCTACACCATAGGAAGGTTAGCACAGGCACCACTGTGACCACAAATGCAAGTTTTTACAGACGAATCTCCAGCTAGCGTGGCCGTGACGAACTCTAGCTCAAGTCTGGCTAACCGGTTTTCCTGAATCCCTTCACTAAATATTACCCTGCTCACACTTCAACAGCTCATCAGGTCCCAAAAAACTATTCATCTCCATTCACTCCTATCTAACAAGCTCACGCACGCTTGCTGGAAGTCATAGCCCCTCGCCCACAAAACCTCCTTTACCCCTTCCCTCCAATCTCTATGGGGATGACCCCTACCCCTCCTTCCCTCCACTATCAATTTATACACCCTACAAGTCATTCTACTTTGATCCATTCTCTCTAAATGATCAAACCACCTCAATAGCCCCTCTTCAGCCCTCTGATTAATGCTTTCAGTAACTCCACACCTCCTAATTTCCACACTACAAATTCTCTGCATATTTACAACACACATTGCCTTTAGACACAACATCTCCACTGCCTCCAGCCACCTCCTCTCTGCAGCATTTACAACCCATGCTTCACACCTACACAAGTGTGTTGGTACCGCTATACTCTCGTACATTCCTTTTCTTTGCCTCCATGGATAATCTTGTCTCCACAGATACTTCAATGTACCACTCACCTTTTTTCCTTCATCAATTCTGTGGTTAACCTCATCCTTCATAAACCCATCTGCTGACATATCAACTTCCAAATATCTGAAAATATTCACTTCTTCCATACTCCTCCTCTACAACGTGATATCCAATTTTTCTTTATCTAAATCATTTGATACCCTCATCACCTTACTCTCACCTATGTTCACTTTCAACTTTCTACCTTTACACACACTCCCAAATTCATCCACTAACCTTTGCAATTTTTCTTTAGAATCTCCCATAAGCACAGAATCATCAGCAAAAAGTAACTGTCACTTCCCATTTTGCATTTAATTCCCCATAATTTAATCCCACCCCTCTCCCAAACACCCTAGCATTTACTTCTTTTACAACCCCATCTATAAATATATTAAACAACCATGGTGACATTACACATCCCTGTCTAAGACCTACTTTTACTGGGAAATAGTCTCCCTCTCTTCTACACACCCTAACCTGAGCCTCACTATCCTCATAAAAACTCTTTACAGCATTTAATAATGGTGACGTGTACTTAGCTCGAGTGGTGACGTGTACTTAGCTCAGTGGTGACGTGTACTTAGCTCAGTGGTGACTTTTGTACTTAGCCTCAGTGGTGACGTGTACTTAGCTCAGTGGTGACGTGTACTTAGCTCAGTGGTGACGTGTACTTAGCTCAGTGGTGACGTGTACTTAGCTCAGTGGTGACGTGTACTTAGCTCAGTGGTGACGTGTACTTAGCTCAGTGGTGACGTGTACTTAGTTCAGGGGGTGACGTGTACTTAGCTCTGTGAAGACCTTTTTGTGTGCTCTCTGTGAATCTGAACCAGATGCCCTCTTTGAGCAGCTTTACCAGCAGCTAGAGAAGAACTCAGAGTTGCTAAACTGGAGATAGGGGCGATTAACGGAGGGAACAAGAGGATTCGTAGTAATCCACCTGTTGTGAGTCCCCAGGTTAAGAGGGAGCTTGGTCAGTGGCCGGGCAACATGGAACCAAGCTGAAGATTAAGAAAACGGTTGGAGAGGCAGAAACAACGGAAAACCAGAAGACTGCCGTGGAAACTTCCAACTCATTCTCGGGTTGGGTACCTGACGAATGTGAGTGTTCTTTCTGGGAATGCCACAACGAGCACCAAGGAAAACATTGGCAGACGTGAGTGAGACATCCCTAGAAACCCCAACGAAGACCATCGAGAACGTCATGGAAAATTTCTACAAGTGGTGTAATGCACCTGGCGAATTTTGAGTCGACTACTCGAGCATCACTACGGACGACGCCAAGGAAGGTAAAAACATTGTTGTTGTTGGGGATAGCCAATTAGGTACAAAGGATAGGGCATTCTGTTTGAAGGACAGGACTAGGAGGCAGAGAGTATGTTTTCCTGGGGCTGGATGAAGGATATTGTTAGCCGTCTGGATGACATCATGAGAGGTAATGGGAGACAATCCTATTATCTGTCTCAGTGCTGGAGGCAACGATGTTGGCAGACGTAGGAGTGAGGACCTGATTAGCAGGGATAGGTCAGCAATAGAGATAATTAGGAGAAGGGTGGAAACCTGTCATTTTGTGGCATTTTGCCAAGGAGAGGGGTTGGAAATGAATGGTTGTCCAGAGCAATTGGTGTCAATTGCTGGCTGGACAAATACTGTAAGGAAAATGCGGTAACATTCGTTGACAAATGGGACCTCTTCAAAGGCAAAATGACATGTATGCCAGGGATGGGGTTCACTTGTCTAGGTGTGGGGTGGGAGCACTGGCCAACGCAGTGGAGGGAGCTGTTAGGTCTTTAAACTAGGAATAGTTAGTGGTATGGGTTTTGGCGGGAAAACTGTGAAGTCCGCAGGGTAGTAACATGAGTACTAGGAGAACTAGTAATAGGCAAAATGAGGAGGATATTGGAAAGCCAGTGGCACTAAATTGACAATGACAGTAATAGGTTTAGTGGAATAACAGAAAGGAGCAGGAAGGGTAAAGAGATAGGAGGGTCATTAAATATTTATTACACAAATAGTCGCAGTGCTAGGAATAAGATGGACGAGTTGAGACTAGTTGCCAGTGCAGGTAACATAGATGTATTTGCCATTACTGAGACGTGGTTTAATTCAAAAAGTCGGGACATGCCTGCAGAATGTCACATTCAGGGTTTTAAATTGTTCCAAGTAGATAGAAGTATCGGGAAGGGAGGTGGGGTGGCATTGTATGTCCGAGATCGCTTGAACTGTTGCATAAAAACGGGTATTAAGTCTGAAG